CCCGCGGACGGTTCGAGGAAGCACCGCAGCTCGCGACGCGCCGACCCCCTAGACCCTGCTGCGTCGTCTCACCACCACCACCACAAGTCCTCGAGCAAGGACCGGACGTCCATAGCGCAACAGCCATCCTATTCCGCTGCCCCCCAACAGTCACAGTCTTCTTCGCAGCACCGCACTCAGGACGCGTACGGTGATGCCTACGGACTGCGGGCGTACATCAAGAAGAGAACAGACAAACGTAGCCCCAAGTCATCGAACGAGAAGGTTTCTCCGGGTGACGACCCGCAAGGATCTCGCTCGGCGAATCCGTCTCGCTACGACTACGCGACTGCAGCCACGTACGCGCAACCGCCCGCAGCCGCGAACTACTACAACAACCCACCCGATCAGACAACTCGCGATCCTACTTCGTCTTCCCGCCACCATCGTGAACGTGACAAGGATCGCGAAAAGTCGCGTAAGCACGATGTCGACAAGTCCGGTACCAGAGAGTACCGGGCAGAGACGAGCGAGGAACGGGAGAGACGACGGCGGAAGGAGAAGGAAGCCAGAAAGGAGAAAGAGCGGTCGTCCAAGGATCGGGAGAGGCGGAAGGAGAGGGACAGATCCAGAGACCCGACCTCGGACCGCAGAGCTCTTGATTCGGCCAGCTTGCACCTCCCACAGGCATCTCCCGCGAACCAAAGGCCTGTAGAGAGACAACCAGCTGCATATCTGGTATGTACATCGAAGCTCAAGCACGATAAGGGCTGACATCAACAGGACCACGGGTACACTCAGACTGAGCAAGCGACCACTGTCCCTTCTGCAACTGCTGCCCCATGGGCCGGCTTGACTGCTGCTGGAAGGACGGCCACAATCCCTGTGACCATACCTGCAGCTGAGTCGGGATACCGTTCAGCATCTGACAGAGAAGATCCACCTTTGCCAATCCCGCCTCCAGGACACCGACGTGAGCGGTCGTCTTCGAAGCCTCATCGGTCGCAGCGACATCACGTACTTGCACAACAAGCTGCCCAAGATTCGGGTATATCAAGTAGTGAGCAAGAACACTCGGGCATGGATCGAGTGCGTTCAAGAACAATTCTGTCTTTATGGACGTTGCTGATCTTGTGCTGCAGTCGAAACCTTCCGAAAGGCGTTATATCAGTCGGGAACAGGCCAGTACTCTGGGGCGCGGGTATTCATCGGGTCCGTCAGGCAGTGAAAATGAGAAATTGCCTACCGTCACCAAAGAACGTGTGAGTTTCATCCGTGTGTAGGTATCCGACCAGGTCTTCAATGCTCTTATTCAGCGCAAGCACAAGGAGTCTTCTCGTCACAAAACGAAGGCCGCCTCCGTAGACGTTCAACAGCCCTCTGGACCTACTACAAGCCAAGAAATCGCGACAGCATGGTATCAGAGAGTAGGTGATGCATCCTGGAGTATGACATTCGTGCTAATCTCCTGCGTTGTAGCACCAGCGGGATGCCGCTGCGATGAAGCCAACCGCACCCTCAGGGAACTCACCTCAGCGACCCCCAATTACTGTGCCTACCTCAGGCAAGCCTACCCCATACGTAGGTCTGACTACATCTCAACGTCCTGCGCCTCAAATAGTCAGCATTCGGGCTGGGCAGGGTCCGTCCGAACCGCATCCAGGCACATTGCTCCCCAAGAACCAGAATGCGACGCTGGCTACTCGCCTTGGAGAGACTCAGCCAGTAGATCGCACACAGGATCCCACCTCCCGGGCACAGGCTTCGGGGCAGTACTATCAACAGTCCGCCACGCGTCCCCAGGATACCTCGCTACAAGCAGTCCTTGGACAGGCTCCGCATGTGGATCCCTCTAGGAGCTATCAGCAGCCTGCTGTCCACCAAGGCGCCATGAACGGGCACCAACAGTCTGCACAGGGTTATCCCAACACAGCGTCGCACGCACGCCATGCCGATTCCAACGGGGTGCACTCTACGGCGGTATATGGGTCACTACCGGACGTCGTGGTACGACCGCCATCTGCTGCTCCCACACATCAAGACCCGTACTCTTCACGGACCACTGCGGCTGCTGCCTCATATCAACAAGCTTCTAGCCAGTCCACGGGTCGGCTACAGATTCCTTCACACGAATCACGCTCTCGTTCTACCCCAGCACCTCCACAAGCAACAGCCTATACGCATGGACACACTCAGCAGGCCCCGTCATATTCGCACGCTCCTACATCTGGACAACACCTTGACGCGAACACCCACCACTCGATGCAAGCCGCCACTGCTCAGCCGCACGACGCAGATCTTCACCGGATGGCCAGTCCCGCACCCCATGGACACTCGCATGCCAGGGCGGCTCCCCATGATCTGTCTTCGAGGTTTCCTGTCTTCGAAGACGGCACGCGTGCACCACCCGCTCAGAGTACGAACTCCGCTGCACCTATGGGGTATGGAAGCCAACAGGCGGGAACGGCGTACAATCCGCCTGCGCAAACCACGCGCCCGGGAGCCACTGCATCCCAGGGGCAACCGTCGGAGTCTCCTAAGCGGAATCTGACTTTCCCGGGCGCTTCTGCTCCTCCCCCTGCGACCTCTGTCCATGTTAATCCCTCTAACTACTATGGCGCCGCAGGTGTGGACCCACGCTCGCCGAAACCGCCGTCGATGGCCACCATCACTCCTGATACCCAGGGAAGCCGAGGCCATCATGTCCACGGGAGGGAGCCATCCGGACAGAGCACGCACACCCAAGCTTCGCGATATGAACAGCTCTCCGCGCAAGTCACTGCGGAAGGTGGGTATGCCTACGGTGGGGCTCCTTCGACGGGGCACTCGCCTTCGCGACAGCATCTCGCGGACCCGGGTCGTTCTCCAGCTATCGTCGGACACGCTGTTTCGGCTGGCTCGGCGGGTACGCCCAAGCACTCGCCCTCTACTCGTTTGCATTCGCATCGCAACGGGTCGAACGACACGATCACTCGTCCGGCATCCACGAAGCCGTCGCCAAGCAGCATGTCCCACCAGCAGCTTCCCCACCACACCAACGCAACGAATCCACACATTAATGCCACGTCACGACCTGATAATGCCTCGGTTTCTCGTCAGCCTATCGCTTCGTCTGGATACCCCGAACCTGCTAGATACCGTTCGCCTGCCCCGCCCGGATACCCAACTGTTCAGCCTTCTGCAGTGCCTAATGGAACGTCGACCGGCCACTCTCAATCGTATAGCACACAGACACCCATGACCTCCTACGACCAGCAGCAGTATGGCCGCACGACAGCGACGACGGCTCAGACGACTTACGCCTCGCAACAACCTACCTCCCAAGGCCATGCTCGTGGAGCCCAAGCTGCCGACTACGGGTATCGTTCGCATGAACCACCACTCTCGGCTCCTGCCACAACTACTACGATGCCTATCTCGAGTCAGCGGCCGCCACCTCGTACCGCCCCCTCACCAGCCCCGACTGTCAGACCGCTGCGACTCAACGCTGTGTCGTCTCCGTCGGGAAAGGTCCCTCCCGCTTTACATTCTGCTCCTCTCCAGCCCACCCGCAACCAGACGTATCCTGCCCCGAATGCGACCCAGAACGGCTCGGCGGCGACGACAGTGTACCCTCCCGCCCATATCCGCACGATCTCGGATCCGCAGTACCCTGGCAAGATGGGGAACACGGCGTATCCGTCGGGCAGCCTGCCGTCCAGGGCCCTGCCGCAGAGCAGGCCGACGGCGGCTGCCACATTGCAATCGCCGGATGTGCTGCTCACACCTTCGTCCCTGGCTCCGTCCATGCTTCCCCAGGTTTCGCCGACCGTGCCCCTGGGCCGCACTACCTCCAAGACGTCGACGACAAAGGAAAAGGAGAAAGAGAAGAAGAAGGGCTTCTTCGGCCTCTTCCGTTCCCGGTCTTCGCCGCCCAAACCTCGGGAGGTCGAGCCCCTTCCCGCCGCGACCGTCAAACAGCTGCGCGAGAGATCCGCCTCGCAGAACACACAGACGGCAACGTACACACAACCGCCCAACGTCGCCGTGGATTCTAGCGTTGCGGTCAAGCCGACGCCGGGTGCACCTGCTCCGCAGGTTGCCACCGTAGCTGCGGTGTCGATTCCAGCTCAGTCGCAACCTCAGCCGCAACACGGAAGGGTTCCTCACCAACCCCACATCGCTTCACCCACGCCTGTCCCCGCGTCGGGAGGGCGCGGCACGAACGGCAAGATGTTCACCCCCTTCCGGTTGTTATCGAAGCGACACCGCACGGTATCTACTGCGTCCGTAGACGCGGTGGATGGCACGGTGGTACGTTGTCTTGTACTATTTTCTTCCGCGCAGCGGCTGATGGCAGCCTAGATCAACGCGATGCTCACGGGCGGCGACTCGACGAGGAGCTCGACGGCGGGCCGTCCCTCTCCTCCCCTCCGCGACCCGATGACGGCCGCGCAGGAGTGGCGCAACCGGGAGGAGTACGAGCAGCAGGGGCGCGGCACGGTGCGCCGGCGACGGCCCGGCGTGACGTTCGACGTCGGGGAGGAGGTGCCCGAGAACGGACGGCTCCCCGTTCAGAAGTCGATGCGGGCGAACGTGGCGGCCATGCATATGGAGGTCACGCCCGTCCCGGCACCGACGAGGCAAGCGACCGCTTGAGGCCCGCAGGACGGTTGTGCCCGACTGGATGCGGAGTGCTTGGGGGATGACGGACCACTCGTGTTTATGAATGCCTCCTAATCTTTGGGTAAGGAGTCGTCGTGTTATCTATGCATGCACCTGCTATGTAAATGTATCTCTATGTCGTCGTTATAGCTGTCGCTAGTGCAGGATGTATTGTATTCCTAGTGTAATGTCATCGAACCCAGCGACTTCTCCTCTCGCTCTCATTTCGTTGCTGCGTGTGCAGTGACAAGATGAATGACGTATTCTGCAAGATTAGTCCTATAATGGGTAAGAAGATATGCCCACTAACATTTCAGTTACATTTATTATGCATTGAAGTACTTGATGAGTAGTAGGTGTACATTTGGAGATGGTACGGTTCGATGGTGTAGTTGGTTATCACGTCTGTCTCACATTAGTCGACCTGGTTGTGGTCGCGTGCACACAGGAGGTCTCCGGTTCGAACCCGGGTCGAACCAGTTTTGGTCTGTTTCTTGGTCTATTTCAGCAAAAACAAACACATACATTGATTGCGGGAAGATGTTTGGAACGGGTATTCGACAAAGCATGGGAACGCCGACGAAGTTGTATTGAGGAAGACCGTGGCTTTTTTTGGTTTAGACATCGGCTCCGGGATGTGTGCATGTGCGTGCTGTCCGCTGGGAACGGCGTGCGTGCAGATGACCCTGGAGAGATCCGAATGAGCCTGATTATTCTGTGCAAACCAAGGATTGGTGCGCAGGTTTTGCAAGGCCAAGGAGGCTGACACGGACGTGCAGACTCCAGAACAGTGACCGTCTGTGAGGAAGGAAACCTACGGGCGCCTTCCGGATCGTGCAGTGCTCCCCCGCGGATCCAAACTGCGCACGGCGCGTCCGACAGTCTCGCACTCCATTCCTCCTCTCCCTCCATCCCTCCATCCCTCCATCCCTCCATCCGCCCCCTCCCCTCTCTCTCCTTCCCCCCAGCACCTTTCCCTCCCTTACCCAGCCTCGCAGAGGCTCGACACCGTCGCCCACGATGATGACGCCTATGCGTTATGTGGTACTGGTGCTGGCCATCATTGTATGTCTCCTCCCCAGCCCGCAGCATGCCCGCACTGAAACTCGCCACGTAGATTAGTTTGCACTTCATCCTCAGCTTCTCGCACGAGGAGTATGGTCGCGCAACGTCTCTCTCGCACTTGTCGGAGCAGTTTGGCGGCTCCAAGCCCCACCCGCCCTACGAAGACGGCGTACCAGAAGACTACTACGTTCCGTCCACCCCTCCTCCGCAAGGCAGAAGGGCCAACGCTACCTTCGTCCTTCTCGCCCGGAATGGAGACCTCAACGGAGTGGTTATGAGCATGAAGCAAGTTGGTGAGTACGCTCGATCGCGTTCCGTGTGCTGTGCTGAACAAGACTGCAGAGGACCGGTTCAACAAGGAGTTCCAGTACCCTTATGTCTTCCTGAACGAGGAGCCATTCTCGGATGAGTTCAAAGAGTGAGCTTCCTGGCTTCCGGCGTTTTATATGCGTGTTTACATGCCCCCCCTACAGGCGTGTACAAACCCTCACCGACTCAAAGATCGAATTTGGCCTTATTCCAAAGGAGCAATGGGTTCAGCCTCAGTGGATAGACGAGAACCGCGCGTCCGAGGCTCGGAAAGACATGATCGAGAAGAACGTCATCTACGGCGGAAGCGTTCCTTACCGCAACATGTGCCGGTTCAACTCGGGCGTAAGTGTCGAAGTCCCCAGGCAACTTTCCCGTGCGCTGATCTCTATACAGTTCTTCTACAGGCATGAGCTGCTCGCAAAATACAAGTACTACTGGCGTGTCGAGTACGTCCTTTCGTTTTCACTCCTCCGCTTTCTGCTGACCTTTGTGCAGGCCTGACGTTAACTTCTTCTGCGACTTGCACTACGATGTACGCTCTTACGTTCATATAATGATGTCAAGGATACTGACGATCATCATGTAGCCTCTCTTGCTCATGCAGGACCAGAAGAAGGTATACGGTAAGTCGCCAAATCACACCGAGGCTCTTGTGCTTGACTGATCACCACAAATCATTCAGGTTTCACTATCTCGTTGTACGAGTACCCTGCCACAATTCCGACGCTCTGGGACGCCACCAAAGGTTAGCAGGTCTAGATACAAGGTATGGGCACGCTAATAGCATCCTGCAGAGTTCATCAACGCCAACCCGGATCTCGTTGAGCCCGACAACGCCATGCGCTTCATCTCTGATGACGGCGGCGAAACATACAACAACTGTCACTGTGCGTCTCATCATATCATCGAGTTTGGCTTGCATCATCTCACGCTGTCCCACACAGTCTGGAGCAACTTCGAGATTGGTGACCTTGACTTTTGGCGTGGTGAGGCATACTCGAAGTACTTCGACTTTCTCGATGAGAAGGGCGGCTTCTACTACGAGGTAGGCCAACTCGGATTTCCAAGGGCTCAATCCTGATCACTTTGCGCAGCGGTGGGGAGATGCACCTGTTCACAGCATTGGCGCGGCTCTCTTTGCCAAGAAGGACCAGATCCACTTCTTCAATGATATTGGTTCGTGCGACTCTCCAGACTCCCGCGTTTGTACCGGTGTTCACCAGCCATCTTCTCCATGTTCTCCAGGATACCGCCACAACCCCTTCCAGCACTGCCCACAGGGCGAGCTGCACAAGAAGGGCAAGTGTTGGTGCAATCCCAAGGAGAACTTCGGTGAGCCCTGCCCGCGCACGGCGTCCAGTCCGTCCAGGGCCCGATGCTGATTACGGTATTACTACAGATTACGAGTGGTACAGCTGCCTGAAGCGCTACGACAACCTCTTCGCCTGAGTCCGGACGTGCGCAACCTGTATATCCCCGCCTGCCGCAGTAATTATTTCCTTTGTCACGGACCGTCTTCGGCCTTTGTAGGATCTGCGTGTATCATGGAATCGATCACGCTGTGATCGACCCGGGATGGTGGTGGCAGCTATATACAATTTGCCACCGGAAGTTCACCGCCCGTTGTCGTCGTTCACGGGCTGTGTAGAGATGGGTCCCAGGCGGCGCAGCGGATGTCATGCGAACACTGGTAGCGCACTGGCGTCGATCGACAGCGTGTCATAGAATGGACTGCGAATAGTATTGGTACTGTCGCGCGCATGTGTGTTAGCAACTGCAAACCGCAACAATCGTTTGCGTGGGCACTCACCGAATCGTACAGTCGTGTCCAGTTCGACCCCAGGGACGTGTCGATGAGCCGCTGCACGTGCTCTTCGACCGCGGCCTGGGTGAGGCCCTGCTGGAAGCGATCCCGCAGCAGGGACGCCGTCTGCTCGCCAAAGGCGGCAAAACACGGCAGCGAGGAGTCCTTTTGCATGAGCTCCACCAAGGCTGGCGCGCGAGTCCGTCAGGTCCTCTGTGGGTGGCCGCAGGAACGCGGGAGTACTCACTGACGATGCGATCGCAGTGTTTGCGCGCGGCCTCGAAGCCCTCGCGGAAGAGCTTGCGGAACTCGCGGTACGCGGGCGCGTCCAGTCCGCCAAGGACCTCGATGTACTCGAGCGGGAGCTTGAAGGGCGCGGCCTCGAAGCCGATGTTCCCCGGCGAGTTCGACAGCATGAAGCCAAAGTCGATGTGAATTAGGTGCCCGTCGCGGTCGAGGAGGATGTTGCCGTTGTGCCGGTCCTTGATCTGCAGCAGGTGCGTCACGAGCGAGTACCCCGCGAGCGACTTGGCGAAGTTGCGCTGCGCGCGCACGAACTTGGCAGAGGACGGGTCCCCGTACGTCTGCGTGCTGGATGAGCGTGGAGATGTAGGAGGAGTGAGGAGGGTACAAACCGTCTTGAAGTGGTCTAGGAGCGTGACATGCCCGAACCGGCCCTCTGCTATCCGACGGGCGTACTCTGCTTTCTTGATCGAGTGTATTGACACTGCATCCGTGATCGTCTCGACAAGACCAGAAGAGTTGCCCGTGATGAGTATACGGAAACTGCATAGGAGTCAAGGTCGGCCGAACGATTACTTGACGTCTCACTTACTATCGTACCCAACACTGGCAGTTCTCGTCTCTCCAGATCTTCTCGAACTCTTGTATGAGCTGGACCGCGAGCTGCTCTTGTCGCAAGTCACCACCAGTCTTCACGATGACCGATACACAGTCCCAGTCCGCTATGATATATCATCAAGCTCGAAGACAAACGTCCTCGCACCACCGGACTTACCTAGATGGCCATACGGTGAGGCTTGCCGTACACGAGCCTATCGTAGAATGCTTATAAGATGCGGGGACTAGACCGTGCATGGTGTCAGACCGACCTTCTTTGCTGCCCACGACTCGCTGAACACCACAGCGGACGGGTCCGCCTTGCTCAGCTCCCGGCGGATGATGCCCTCGTCCTCCGCCGTCTTCAGGTCCCCGTTCGAGGGACTGATCCGGAGCGAGCTCTCGTTGATGCCGTTCTCGCGCATGCGCGCCATCCGCTCCTCCTCCAGCGCCAACATCTCCTCCATGATGCGGTCCCGGATCGCCGCCGCCTCCGACGCCTGCAGCTTCATGCGCATCACCTGCGGCGCGTCTCCCGCCGGGCCCGATCCACCCGACCCGGGCGGCGGCGCGCTCCCGTTGGCCGGGGCGCCTCCTAGCCAGGCCGTCCCTGGGAGCCAGCGCAGCGGGGCGCCAAGCATGGAGGGCTCGGGAGGGGGCGGGGGCATCCCCGGAGCGGTCACGGCGGTCACGGGCTCGCGGACGAGGCTCGCGTTCAGCTGCGCGAGCATGACTGCCGCGGTGCGCATCCGCTCGGAGTACTCGTCCAGAGACAGCATGCGAGTGGCCATCGCACCCTGGCTTTGCTGGCGTACGGGGGTATCTGGAGCGCTCGTAGAGCCGGCGCGCCCCAGTGAGGGGGGTATCGAGAGGTGGAGAGAGGGGGTATGAGACCCGAAGGGATCGTTCTTGTCGAGCAAGGGCGTGTGAGGGGTAGAAGATGTTCGTGACCAGGTCATGATGTCGAGCTCCTTGTTCTTTGGAGCGCGGGGAAGGACGATCGAGTCGGATAGGTCCATCTCGTTCGCACGCAACGCACTCTGACTACCGTATAATTGCTCGACCAAATCAATTTCCTCTTCGTCCTCTGCAGGTGTTGAGGGAGTCGCGGCGGAGGGCGAAGTAGCTGGCGCGTCAGACGTTGGCTCCTGCGCCTCACTGGCATCGGTACCAAGAGCTGCATCTGAGCCATTGACATGATCGGGGATGACTATCGAGGGCTTCGGATGCGGTTCACTTCTTGCGAAATGCACCAAGTCTCTTGACGCCCCCTTCGTTTCGCTCTCCTTCACTACGATCTTCTTTAGGATTTCCTTGTTCCCCCGTTTACCGGGGTCAAAGTCTAGGTCGTTGTGAAGGATCTCGACCAAAAGAAGGTATGGCGCGCGTTCAGCGGAGTTCAGGACAACGCTTTCCCCCGGAGGTATCCGCACTATCCTGTGATGGGGTTGTGGGATG